ACCCAGGTTGAGCAAAGGTTTTGAGCTCATTCCTGTGTGCTTTGACTGCAGTGCCCCCTAGTGGATAATTTAATGCCATACAAGATTCTCATGTTGGATCACTTGGCAGAAATCTAAGAATGCATTTTAACAAACTCATGGTTTTCTATGGTGGGTCCATATTTTGTTTCTTCTTTTTTCCAAGTAAAGTTCATTGCAATACATGACAAAATTGTGTATATATATAACCCTCTGATGGCTCAGATGAAATTTTCTACACATCCTCTTTTCCCTGTTTCAGGAATGAGGGGAGAAGAGACAGGAGGGGTAATAAAATGGGGACAGAAGGAAATTGCCATAAGGGCTTCTGAACTGTGGTTGGTAACATGATAGATATGTCTAGAAAACGAAAATGCTGGAAATGTGATTACAGTGAAGTGTTAAAACTGAGATTATCATGTGATCAAAATGTTAAAAAGCAGTATAGGCATACAAATTCGTTCAGTGAGAATTTGACACCTATTTTCTGCCAGCAGCCTATGACAAGTGGGTGGGGAGGAAACAGCAGGTCTCCAGATAAAGGCCACTTTCTTAGTGTTTTGAATAAAGAAGTCCTGCCTGGAACTAAATTCCCAGTTTATTCAACTGAGACCAGGACCCCCGGCTGCCCTGAATGTTCTGGTCCATAACTGGAGGAGAGGGGAAGGTCCTGGGCCCACTTGCTTGCTTTGGAACTTCCTGGAGATCGCAGGGCAGCACAGCCAAGGGACTCCAGGAAGGCTCGTTTTGTACGGGGCACAGATTTGGAGGATTCTCAAGGCTTCTCTAAGGTAACTGTAAAGCTACTGCAGAGATGCCCAGATTTTTAGATCTTACAAACAAGCCAAAAAAGTGAAGAAAGCTTTTAAAAGTAAAGTAAAGGGATAAAAAACAATTGCTAATTTAAAAAGATTCCAAGAAATAACACTAAAAACAAATTTCATTACTAATTAAACAACTATTATCTTCCCAGGAAAAAAATGGGTTTTATGTATATGTGTATGTATATATGAGTATACACACACACACACACACACACACACACACACACACACACACACACACACACACACACACACACCACGTCCCTCCTCTTCTTTCAGTTCTCCATGGAACAGAGAAACGTTTGTTCTGAACTAACAGCTGTCTGAGGACTGGCGTTTGGGAACAGTGTGAGATCCTTTCCCTGAAAGCTGACATTCCCTGGTGTGATTTGGATGTTTCTTTGGAATTAGGACTCAGGGGCCATTGCTGTGTAGGGAGGTGTGAACTGTGGGAGAGTCTGCCCTCCAGGGCAGCAGAGCTCAGTCCCTGCTGCCTCTGCCTGCTGTGCAGGATGTGGGAATGTCAGACCTGAGGATCTTGGGACGCTGGGACCTGAGGAGACTCCTGATTAATCCTCCCCGTTTGGTGCCAGACTGTGTGTGAACCATTCCAGACAGATGGGGATATGCTCACGTTCAGGGCCTGTGAGGAAGGATTTCTGAGCATCCCTGGAAACTGTATTCCAACCTTCAGGAATGCTCACTTTCCAAAAGGAAATTCACTGACCCTGCAAGTCAGCAATTCAGACTCAGAATGGGCTTAAAAGTCAGAAAGTTGAATTTCCCCATATTACAAAGTCACTAATTCACCAGGAAGAGGCAAAGGAGAAGCACAGATTCACTAAAATTGTCTGGAGCAGCTGACACGACCCTGTACATCCTACACAGCCTATCACTGCAGACTTGAACACAGGACATCCTCTCAGGTAGTGGGCAGGCTGGGTTGGGGGTGCCCTGATACATAATCTCACACTTAACTCCAACCCAGCGAACACTAACCAGCTAGGGCCAGTGTGAGCTGAGAAAAGGCAACATCAGAAGCCTTTCTTGAGGCTTTACCTGCTGGGCTAGGATCTTTTCTTTTATCTTCTAAGCTTTTTCTGATCCATGCTCAAACTTTTTATTCTTTCTTTAAAGGCCTTATCTTACAAATATTTGTTTGATTTTTTTCCCCCAAAATTAAGTTCCCTTTCCACATATATTGTTCCAAATGGGCCACAGTATTGTAATGTCTAATCAACGCGGAACATCTGCCCTGTTTATGCGTCCTCCCAGCCTCCATTCTGGGAGTCTGTATGTCGTACACTCTTATGTAAATTCCTACTTGCTGTGTGTCTCTCAGTTTGCCTTCTTTTGTCTTCCTCACCTTTGAATGAGCTGTGTATTTCAACTATTTAACTCTGTTGGTTGGTTTTTGGTGTCTCTGTGTTGGATTGAATGATAGCCCCAAAAAGATATGCCCACATCCTAATCCCCGGAACACATGAATGTTACCTTATTTGGAAAAAAGGGACTTGGCATATATATTGACTTACGGATCTTGAGCTGGGGCACCCATCCTGGATTAACCCAGTAGGCTCTTATAAAGGACACATGCACGAGAGATGCACCAAGGAGAAGGCCACGTGGAGATGCAGACAGGGGTAGCGATGTGGTCACAAGCCGGGGGCTGCTGACAGCAATCAGAAACTGGAAGAGGCAAAGAACAGAGCCTCCAGGGAGTGCTGCCCTGCCAACACCTTGGTTTTGGACTTCTGGCTTCCAGAGCTGGGAGAGAACACATTTTTCTTGCTTTAAAGCCATCAAATCTGTGATAATTTGTTAAGGTAGCCACAGAAAACTAAGAGTCTCCAGTATTCTGAGACAATATTCAAGACAGTTCCTATGGTTGCTAGTGAGTCACGTTCCCACATTCAATGTTATTTCCCAACTGTCAACATCCCACTGCACCGTTTCAATCACCGATCACCATTTGTAATTCTAAGTTTTGCGTTTTATTTGTCCACTTACGGGCTATGTCTAGAATTGGAGGCTTCTGTTTCTCTATGAATCAACAGAAAATAAATTGGTTTACTTCCAATTCACAAATTTTGGAGCCACAGCCTGGAAAACTTGTTATTGAATAGCTGGATGTCTTAAAAAGAAGTATGAATCCTGTGGAGGTATTTCAGAGTAATTAATACCGATTATACTCTTGCAGCAGTTAGGGTATGGTCTGGAGCTAGACTTCCCGGGTTGGAATCCAGCTTTTCTAATTTAATAACCTTAAAGTACTCCCTTGGGGTAAGGACACCAAGACAGTGCTCCTACATACATAACCCTGGGTGACCCTGAAAATAGGTGTTAAGCAGAATTACATGTTCTAGGAGCGTTCAGTATACTCATAAAGCTAATATTAATTATTGTGGTTTATTCTGACACGTCCCTCCTCTTCTTTCAGTTCTCCATGGAACAGAGAAACGTTTGTTCTGAACTAACAGCTGTCTGAGGACTGGCGTTTGGGAACAGTGTGAGATCCTTTCCCTGAAAGCTGACATTCCCTGGTGTGATTTGGATGTTTCTTTGGAATTAGGACTCAGGGGCCATTGCTGTGTAGGGAGGTGTGAACTGTGGGAGAGTCTGCCCTCCAGGGCAGCAGAGCTCAGTCCCTGCTGCCTCTGCCTGCTGTGCAGGATGTGGGAATGTCAGACCTGAGGATCTTGGGACGCTGGGACCTGAGGAGACTCCTGATTAATCCTCCCCGTTTGGTGCCAGACTGTGTGTGAACCATTCCAGACAGATGGGGATATGCTCACGTTCAGGGCCTGTGAGGAAGGATTTCTGAGCATCCCTGGAAACTGTATTCCAACCTTCAGGAATGCTCACTTTCCAAAAGGAAATTCACTGACCCTGCAAGTCAGCAATTCAGACTCAGAATGGGCTTAAAAGTCAGAAAGTTGAATTTCCCCATATTACAAAGTCACTAATTCACCAGGAAGAGGCAAAGGAGAAGCACAGATTCACTAAAATTGTCTGGAGCAGCTGACACGACCCTGTACATCCTACACAGCCTATCACTGCAGACTTGAACACAGGACATCCTCTCAGGTAGTGGGCAGGCTGGGTTGGGGGTGCCCTGATACATAATCTCACACTTAACTCCAACCCAGCGAACACTAACCAGCTAGGGCCAGTGTGAGCTGAGAAAAGGCAACATCAGAAGCCTTTCTTGAGGCTTTACCTGCTGGGCTAGGATCTTTTCTTTTATCTTCTAAGCTTTTTCTGATCCATGCTCAAACTTTTTATTCTTTCTTTAAAGGCCTTATCTTACAAATATTTGTTTGATTTTTTTCCCCCAAAATTAAGTTCCCTTTCCACATATATTGTTCCAAATGGGCCACAGTATTGTAATGTCTAATCAACGCGGAACATCTGCCCTGTTTATGCGTCCTCCCAGCCTCCATTCTGGGAGTCTGTATGTCGCACACTCTTATGTAAATTCCTACTTGCTGTGTGTCTCTCAGTTTGCCTTCTTTTGTCTTCCTCACCTTTGAATGAGCTGTGTATTTCAACTATTTAACTCTGTTGGTTGGTTTTTGGTGTCTCTGTGTTGGATTGAATGATAGCCCCAAAAAGATATGCCCACATCCTAATCCCCGGAACACATGAATGTTACCTTATTTGGAAAAAAGGGACTTGGCATATATATTGACTTACGGATCTTGAGCTGGGGCACCCATCCTGGATTAACCCAGTAGGCTCTTATAAAGGACACATGCACGAGAGATGCACCAAGGAGAAGGCCACGTGGAGATGCAGACAGAGGTAGCGATGTGGTCACAAGCCGGGGGCTGCTGACAGCCATCAGAAACTGGAAGAGGCAAAGAACAGAGCCTCCAGGGAGTGCTGCCCTGCCAACACCTTGGTTTTGGACTTCTGGCTTCCAGAGCTGGGAGAGAACACATTTTTCTTGCTTTAAAGCCATCAAATCTGTGATAATTTGTTAAGGTAGCCACAGAAAACTAAGAGTCTCCAGTATTCTGAGACAATATTCAAGACAGTTCCTATGGTTGCTAGTGAGTCACGTTCCCACATTCAATGTTATTTCCCAACTGTCAACATCCCACTGCACCGTTTCAATCACCGATCACCATTTGTGATTCTAAGTTTTGCGTTTTATTTGTCCACTTACGGGCTATGTCTAGAATTGGAGGCTTCTGTTTCTCTATGAATCAACAGAAAATAAATTGGTTTACTTCCAATTCACAAATTTTGGAGCCACAGCCTGGAAAACTTGTTATTGAATAGCTGGATGTCTTAAAAAGAAGTATGAATCCTGTGGAGGTATTTCAGAGTAATTAATACCGATTATACTCTTGCAGCAGTTAGGGTATGGTCTGGAGCTAGACTTCCCGGGTTGGAATCCAGCTTTTCTAATTTAATAACCTTAAAGTACTCCCTTGGGGTAAGGACACCAAGACAGTGCTCCTACATACATAACCCTGGGTGACCCTGAAAATAGGTGTTAAGCAGAATTACATGTTCTAGGAGCGTTCAGTATACTCATAAAGCTAATATTAATTATTGTGGTTTATTCTGTTGGTAGCTGTATTTGGCAGGGAGTATAAGGACAGATGCCCTCTCTTATTAAACAAGCCACACTCTCTCAGTTCCTTATCCTTTGCAGTACTTCTCAAATTTATTCCATTATTTCAATTGAAGGGCTGATTAAGGTTAATCTCATTTAGGTCGTTACTGCTTCATGCTTGCGCTATTTTAAATATTCATGGAACCCATCCCCATATGACTAATTTTTTTCCCTCCAGCAGAATTTTAGTCACAGCACCGCAGTTCCCATCGATGGAATTCCCATCATCTATAGCAGTGGCCTGAGGCTCTTTTGAATCTTCACACAATCAGTGGGAAAAAAATTAACAGGCCATATAAATAATATGCGAATACAACTGTATTCATACGTGATAAAATACACAACTACAGAAAATCTTAAAAGGCGAGTTTAAACTGAAATAGGAAGTGTTTTTAGATGTCCTGTTGGTCACGGTGCCAGATCCTGTCATTAGCTGCCATCTAAAGACACGCTTTACATTTAGGGTGAGGTTCTTCTTGAATAATAGTCACAAACCCTCATGACAGTGCATCATTTAAAACTTTGTCTAGCTTCGTCTCAGAGGTGACTTGACTCTTGTTGCTTTTACCTTGTGCTGAAGTGCAAGTGTATTTTCTGTCATTTTCTTGTTGTTCGTCTGTGCTTCCTTTATTGGTACCATGTTCAAGGTGCCATTTCTTTCCAAGAATCTTTTTAAGCCACTCGGTCATTTTCTGAGGGTTAATTAAGCTAAAACATGAGCCACCTGGGCTGCAACATGTGACAATAAAGAAGCAGCAGAGAAATGGGGAGGGGACCCTTCTGCCACCCACACCCCTTTACGATAAGTTCACACACTCATTGGCCATCTGAAATACAGGCTGAGTGAGGACCTTAATGTCCATTTCTATATATAATGTTGACAAAAGAGAAGACCCAGTGTGTTCTTGCTGCCTCCCAATTTGTGCCCCTGCAGGGTGGACATTCATCTCTAGGGGGATCAATGTCTATACATAAAGTTCAAACTTCTTAGCCAGGCTTCCTAGACCCTCCAGCACCTGGTCTGCATGGGCTTTTCCTGGCCCACTGGTTGGTTGGACGGCTCCTACAGGATCCAAATGGGACGTATGCAGTTAGTCTTCAGTCTGAAGGGGTTGCTCACTGTCCCCCATAGCACCTTACTTTTGCCTCCAAAGAGTCCGGAGACTGCCCTGCCCGTGTTCAAGTAGATGGTTTTACCTTTCCAAGAAAGCCGCTGTTGTCTGAATTTCCCTGCAACTTCCCTTTGACATCCTCCTGGGTAGGTAACATCCTTTTTGGGTCCCATGTACTGCTCCTGCTTAGTTTTAACTCTCATTCTGTCGGGGTCTGCAAAAGTCTGAATATGCCTATTTTGCCTTTATTTTGTTGGATAAATCAGCTGGGTATAGAGTCCGAGACTGAGAACAATTTTCCACTACAAGTTGAAAAGGTTTATCCTCTTACCTCTAGTGTATATATTCCATTCCCTGATTCCATTTGTTTGCTTCCTCTCTGGGAGGATCTAGCACCTTGTCTTTATCTCTGACATTTCAAGACCTTTACATTCATTGTGCTAGGCACTCAGTGTACCTTTTTAACCTGGAGGCTTATGAACCTCAGGTCTGGGGAAAAGGCTTTTCTATCATCTCTTTGGTAATTTCTTCCTTTCTGTTCTCCTTTTGGAATTTCAGAAATTTTGAACTTTTTGTTTTGAACCTCTTTCTTTCCTATTTTCCATTACTTCGTATTTTTGTTTTACTTTCTAGGACTTGTTCTATGTTATGTTCTAACTCTGTTGAAATTTATATCTTGTTATCATATTTTAATTCCCAAGAAATCTCTCTTCCTTTCTGATACTAGTTTTATATCTATCTTTCTGCTCTTATTTTATGAATAAACTTTCTTCTCTACCAGCTCAGTGGGCACACACACACATACACACAAACAAATCCTGTTCCTACATCATCTCTATTTCCTCTGGAGTCATTCCTACCAGTCCCCTCTAATTTATGTTGCAAGTTTTCTTAAATACCTGATAATCCTTGATTGTCCTTTTATAATTCAGATTAAGATGCTTGAAAGGGATTAGCAACCTCTCTGTGTGAGCAGAGCTGTGGACAAGTGGGCTTCACAGCAGATGCCAAACTAAAATTTTGGCCTTTTTGTAGTAACCCATTTCTCTAGAGCAGCCTCCAATCTCTTGTTGGGGAGTATTTTCCTGGCTGTGGCCTTCCGGCATCAGGTTCTCAGAAGTGGGTTGGATAGTTTACCATCATTAAGCTTTCAGTTAACCGCCCTATTTTCAAACCCCCTACCTAATTCTCTCTCTGTGCTCATCAGTAACTGTTAGATTGGCGCCTCTTTCCTAGGGCCCATTTCCAGCCAAGGGTTGGGGGCCAGAGAGCATGGAGGTGGCTGTCTGTATTGAGCTACTGGGAGAGAATATGCAGGCCTGTTCATTCTACGTGGAAGCTTTCAGCCCATGCCCTGCACGGTCCCGTGGCCTTCGGGTATCTTCTGACTCCAAGTCCTTGACTTTTGAAGGTTCTGTAGGGCAGACCGGTTTTCAAACCCTTCTGGAAGAAAAAAAAAGGTTTACAGTTTAAACTCACTTTCTTTTTCATTAAAGGAGCCAATTGAAGAAGTATTTTGTGAATTTTCTGCTGGAGTGGCATCTGTGGTGCTTGATGGAGCTGGGCTCAAAGAGTCAGCAGGAACCACAGATCCGAATCGACCTAACTCAGGAAGTGCGCTGTTCACAGGCAAACATTCAGAACACTAAGTTGTCACCCATGTTTAAAGAAATTTGCATTTTGGGGGACATTAGAATGCATTCATGTAGAAACATTAAGCAGATGTAAAAATAATGCTAATTTGGCACCAGATGGCTTGCTTTGTTGCTTGCCCTAGGACAGGTAGGCGCCAAGAACTATTGTAAGTAGAGGGAACAAAATTATTTAATGGGATGGTATTTAAAAACTAGACTATCTTAGGTTAAATAATTTCTTTCATTTCTTGTATTTAGCAGTCAAAGATATGTGCCTCTTTATTGAATTCTAAATCTCATTTTCAATCTCTCAGTGATGCCAACACCTTGTAATGTAAATTAGATAAAACGTAAATGTGTTTTTAGCATGAATATGGTAGGTAAAATGCATAAATCAATTATATTACTAACATTTTCCATTGCTTAATTAATGCCACTCACAGGGCTAAGTATTTTATAAGTCTTAGTTCACTTCTTCTTACATACACCATATAAGATACGGTGTCAGTCAACTTAGACTAAGTCAGTCATGCTGCAGTATATAATAGCCCCCAGATCTCAGAGGTTTATAACAACAGATGTTTATTTCTCACTCACACATGTGCGTTATAGGGCTGCATAACCGGGAACCCAAAAGGTGGAGGAGTACCTGGGTGGAAATTGCTAGTTTCAGGTGAATGGGTAGGGCAGGTGGTTCTTAAAACTTCTGTTCAGAAGTGACATGTCACTTTTCCCCTTGATTCAATGGCCAGAGCAAGACATGTGGTCACTTCTGACTTCAATGGATGAGGGAGGTTTTATTCTATTTCACAGAGGGGCATCTTAGGTCACCTGGCCAGCTTTGTATCAGTGGGTGGGGAGATACAATCCTCCACCAGGGAAGGCAGCAAATATTTTGATAATACAATCTACCACGAACAAAACAAAACCCACAAAACAAAACAAAAACACAGTGTCAAGGAGTTAATTATACAGAAATGTTCGAATCAAATCCTGTATACTACTTTTTTAAAAAAAGAATTAGTTTTCGCTTGTATGTTATTATTCCAGGGTGTAGTTGGGAAAGAAAAACAAAATGTTAAGATATTATCTAAGAAGAGTAGCACCAAGACATTTTCTGACAAAAGGGCCAATCTAATGTTATTTAAACAAATGAAATTCAGGTTCAAAAATCTAGATTTTGATGCTTAGGTGGTCTCAAAGAGGATCTTGTTTCACTTTGGAGATTCTCCAGTGTTTTCCATTCATTTGTGTGGCAGCGAAACTTGCCAAATGTAAGATATGGTTGAGAGGGAATAAGTGCTATGGTTTTAAGGGGGAAGTAACTAAGAGGAAATAATTTTACATTATCAGAAGAATTATCTTAATCTCTTGGGTTCCTAGCCAGTCTTTGCATTGTATTTCCTTTCTCATGGTTGCATGACGTCTTGTCTGTCACAAAACAGGTGAGTAAATACACATCCCAATGGTGTAACTTGTTTTCTAGTTTATTATAATGTTCAGTAAAAGTAACCACTTATCTGGGTTTAACATTTATTACACTTTAGAAATTAGCCAACCCAGGAGGCCCTGTGTTTTCTTGAACGAGCCTGCCACCTGGTGGTTATCTGGAAAACCAAAGTTGGCAAAACTAGTGCTCTGTAGTACTTTATATAAATGTAAAATTATATAAATATAACATTCAATTAAATACCTTTATGTATTGAAATAAATATTTTCTTCAATAAATATTTTTTGAGCACCTAATGTGTACCAAGCATTATTCCAGGTAGTCAGCTTACAACAACAGAGAATGAGGTGGACAAGAATCTCCACCAGTATAGGGGCTGGTGTATAGAAGTTAAAATTTGGAAACATGGTCCACCTTCATAAGCTACTAACCTGATATCTTACCCACAGTGTGCTCCATCTTCTCTATATGCTATATGAGAGCTATATATCCCTGCTCCTATAAAGGTCAGCTCTTTCCTTTTCTGTTCTTTGGATCCAAACACCTTTTGCTTTCTCAAGGACTCGAGGACTTGGCATCTATAATTACCTCCTCCTCCTACATCCCCAAAAGCTTCCTACCCCTGGAACATCTCCTTCAACATATACACCTGCTCCAATGGCTTCCATTAAAAAAATCTTTCCTTAATCCCAAATTCTCTCTAGCTAATACTGCATTTCTCTGCTTCCCATAATTATAAACTTTTCAACTTTTGTTTTTATCATTCATGCCCACAAGAACCCCATCTGCCTGGTTTATTGTTAAATACCCAACACTCAGGAATAGTTTCTGGCACTGAGTAGGTGCTTGATAAAAATATTTAGTTTGCATATGAATTCATAATGCAAAGTGGTGGTGCCCACCTGGCCCTGGTCTATGGGCACTTTGCTATTTGGAAAACTGAAGTAAAAAGGGCACTAAATTGATGAGAATGATGCTTAGCACTTGGGAAGAATCTTTAAATCTGTGGTTTCCCAGTTTGTAAAATGAGGGGTTGGTCTACATTGGGGGTGACAACTACATATTGGCCTTGGGGTGAGATCTCATTGGCAGTGGTATCTTGGCTATAGTATCACAAAGAACTTTTGGCCACAGAAAGAATGCTGTGATTGTAGCAATGCCCCCCTAGATGTGAGAAGTGGTGCTGCTTACGATTCCTGGTCCAAACATAGTTTCCTCTGGCTCTAAACATAAGAGTGATTTAACAGACAGAATCTCAAACATTGCTGTTTGAACTGCATTTTAGATTTGAACTAGACTTAAACCTTTGAACAGTTTTCAACATTTAATGAGAGTAAGAATTAATGAGAGTTAATGAGAGTAACTCAGACTCAAAATTATGAATGACAATCTCCACGAATGAATCTGAGAGTAATGGAAATGGATCTGCATCTATTTATTTCACTGGAGTTCATTGCCTAGCCTGTATCACAACGGAAAAGTATTTCATTGTGGAAGGTTTAAAAACGTTCCTTTCAGATAAATGACCTGCACTGAGTCTGGTATTTATTATGCTTAATATCTTATTTCCCTCTCGGATGTGTCTCTGCTTTTCTTCTAGTTAGTTGCCTTTATTTGCTTTTTTTTCCTCCATTTTGCTTCTCCACAAGATGATGATGCCAGACTAGACTGACAAATATTTCAAGCTATATTTCAATTACTGGGACAATAAATGTGCACCGAATGCAATTAAAATAAAGTAAACCTCACAAGGGAGCATAAGCCCCTTTTAATGGAAATGAGGATTAAATGTAAATTTTCATCATCGAAGGGTCAGTCATAAAGGTTTAGAGTTGATGAAAAAAACGTCTGAATGAACTGTAAGATTTAAAAGAGTGTATAGAGTTTATCTTAGTGAAAAGAAAATGATTTGAGAGTATAGAAGTCACAAGACATTCTGTACATAGCATGTTAAAGATTTAGAGAACTCTGTTTTATTGTTTGTGTTTGTTGCCCCAGAGTAATTTCTTAAGGCAAATAAAATAATGCATGTAAAAAGAATTTGAATTTTTGAAAGGAAGCTTCAAATTCACTTTATTATAGTCTAGGTGTGATTTTTAGCAGGAAGAAATTATTAATGCTCTAGATCAGGGATGGGCAAACTGTAGCATTTTGTCAAAGCTGAACTGCTGTTTGTTTTTGTGAATACAGTTTTATTGGGCCACAGCCAAGTCTATTTGCTTCTATGGCTGCTTTCCTGTGACAGTCGCAGAGTCCAGCAGTGGCACCAGAAACCTTGCGGCTCGCAAAACATAGTCACTATTTGGCCCTTTCAGAAAAAATTTGGTGGCTCCTATTCTAGATTATAAGCTTCTGCATTATACTGTACATTTTTGAAGGCTGGGCCTCTATGTTTAACCTTAGTTTTTAATTTCTCTGAAAAGTATTAATATCAGTAGATGATCGGATCATAACAACTTTAAGAAATACGGTATAAAATATAAATTAATGCACTGGGTAGTCTTTTAAAACTTTTATATCAAGTAGTTGCATGCATCCCTTAGGCCAAACCTATTTTTCTCAGCCCTTGGAGAAAGACGTGTGCCCTCTGCTTCTCTCTCCCCAGCCATGTTCTTGAGCATGCCCTGCCTCAGAAGGGAGCTCTGCAGGACTCGGGGTCCATCACCTTCCAGCCTGGATCATGACCCAGTGCTCCTCTGAGTCCATCCAGCTGGGTTATAGGGAACAACTGCCCTGAGAATTTCTGGCCCAGGCTGCCTCTTGCATCCTCAGTGCTTCTGACCTCTGGGAATTCCAGCTGACAATCTGCAGGTCCTTGGGCAGATTTTAAGCAGCTGCCAACAAGATCTGGGGGTAATTGTTGCCAGACTCCATGGCACCCCTTCAGGCAGAAATTTCGCAGCCCTTCACCTGGCCAAAATACAAGTTTAAAAGAAGAAGAAGAAGGAAAAATATTTAAAATACAAACATTTCTTATGATTTTTCTGAAAGCACAATACTTGAGAAGTCAATTTTTGCCCTGCAGTGTTCGTTTAAAGTTCACACCAAAATGTCTGGTGTTTAGTGAGAAGGAGCTAAGGGGTGGTGGCGGTCCCTAAATCCCCTAGGAGTCTGGGGTTCCCAGGTTGAAACCTCTGCTGGAGACTCAAGGAGAGAGGGAGCAGCAGAGCCTGGGGGTGGGGGTGAATATGTATTTTGACTTGACTTTGCTCCCCCAACGGATATTGTGCATAGTCCACAGAGAGGCTTCCTGCTTCTTCCCTCCGCCCTCTACTCATCCCACATTCCAGCACAACGTTACCTGTCTGGACCATATTATTTTTATGTTCCCATAAAAATACTTCAGCCCATGGTAACATGATTTATTATAATATTTATGCAGTTCATGTAGTTGCCAGTTGATATCATGAATGGCCTCAGGAAGAGATTTCTATATCTCCAGTGAAAATCACTGAGAAATTGTCCTTTATGAAATTCAGTGTTCTTAACATAAAGGAACACATTTGTTGCATTCCTCTTATATTGATTACTTAGAAGATTTGTCCCTCTTGACACACTAGAAACATTTTTTTTTCTTAGATGATAGTTACCAAGCTATATAATATTTTGACTTTTTTCTTCTTGACTGCCAGGAAGCTTAGAGCTAAATTTATTGTGCAAACTTAGTTACATGCTGCGTTCAGGTTTTCTTTATGATCGTCTGCACCCTCCCACCCTCTCTGATTCAGTACTTAACTCCTGCTTTTTCACCCCTTCTTTAGTGGCGGTCCTATTGGTAGTGTTACAAAACCGGCTTCTTTCGGACACATTTTCTGAGTCTGTTTAAATAATTGGTTATGGGATTCAAATACATTTTCTTATATAATCCTCAGAACAATCCAGTGAAGTTGGGAATATTCCTGTTTTCCAGATGAAAAGACTAAGACTGAAAGAGATGAAGGACTGTGCTCAAACTCATAAAGCCAGCTAGCAGAGACGAAGCTAGGATTTGAAACCATTACTACTTAAAAACCAAGCTTGTCCACTCAGCCACTAAGATGTACTCTCTCTCCTAGTCATATTCCAGCGAGGTTCAACAGATGTCAGAGAGAACTGGTCGGTAAGGACTGAATCAAGTCCCAACTGAAAAAATGATTGAAAGGATGAATAGTTAGAAGACTTTTATCAATAGTATTGATATTAACCCTTCCATAGGAGATGAGATCATTATATCAGACGAAACCCTAACAGTGAATTAACATTGGGGAAGCAAATGTAATCCTGTCTGTGATTGAATATATGTGATTAAAACCATTTTGCACCTATGAAAAGTTGCAAAATGTATTGGTGTTGGAGCTCTGGAGACACAAGTTCTCTTAGGTTCTTTCGGTTGCACTGAATTTGGTTAATCTTATTGGAGGGTAAAACCCATAAGCACCAACATAATGTTGATTGATGGATTCCATTTTTAGAAACTTAAACTGAGGAAACTTACACTGAGGAAATATTTCAAAAGACAAGGACTACGTGTTTAAAGCTGTCATAGCAGTATTATTAGGAATGAAAAACAGAAAGGAAGGTAATTGGCTTTCAATAAAAGATAAAATGTTAAAGTGATTTTGAATCAGCAGCAATGCTGTATACTAGATCATTCAAATACATAAGGAAGACAGATAAAACACTATGGGAAAGAGGTCTTTGCATATGATATGGGTCCATCAATGCAAAAAGTAAGTTAATTCACGGATGGTGTAGTAGGGGCTAACTCTGAAGTCTTCCTATTCCTGCAATTGCCTCAAAAGCTGGGTGGGGGGTGATCTTTTGCATTAGAAGTGGACTGGAGTGAGCCATCCAGAGATCTGGTCCATCAGCTAAAGGGGGAGTGCCAAGGCTGTGACCACATTCTTCATCCAATCAAGCCACTAATTTAAAAGTGAAGCCGCAGAAGTAGAGTGTTAAACCTCGTAGTGCAGGGAAAGTAACGAGAAGGCAGTCTCCACATAATGATTCCTCAGCCCAGAGCAGGCCTTCTTGACCAAAGTAATGAATGGTTGTTGCAAACACACTCCTTCAACATAGAACTTTATAACATGGTATTAGAAAGCCGAGCAACCCTGCACCCCACCTCTGAAAGGACACCAATTTCCAGTGAGGGCTACTGGCAAAATCCTGCAGTTTCCCATGTGTTTATTTATAGCATAATGGGACAATACTAGATGGACTGCTGAGCAACTTGGTTTAGGCAGCTAAGAAGTTGTTTGTGACATCTTTCTATGTTTGATTTTGATCATAGGTGGCATCCAGTTCCCCTTACAACTAATGACACAACAGATGTTTTGTTTGTGGATATCCTCAACTGCTTATGCCAGCTTTTAACCTGATTCATTTTAAGTCTTGGCTCTCTCCTTTCTTACCATCTTATTTTTTTTGTTTGGAAAGAAATCATTCTGAGGTTCCTGGGCTTGAGAAACAGCAGGGTATAGCATCTGTTTGGGAGTCTTAGAGAGTCTCCAAGCAGCAGAATTCTGTAGATGTTGCAGTTTGGGCATTATCTGCCCTGGAGAAGTAGGCAAAGCCACATCCCTAAAGTCATTTAAAGCAAAAAGATGTGTCCTCTGCATTCTGTTTGGCAGCTTCCTTTTGCACTTACTGATTTATTTTGGGCACTATTCCATGCATGCGAATTAAAGTAAAAACATCTTAATTACCAGGAGGGGCTGAGCTGAGGGTAGAAGTGGGGGTAATAGGGATGGGGCAGGACTGAAGGCTCGTGCTATTTGACACGGGAATCTCTTCCTTCTCATTTATCCACAAGTGGAGCCAAGTGAATAATTGTTCTACAACATACTTCATGCCACTGTAAAGTAACCTGTTCTTTGAAGGGTTTAATGGATGATTATGGGGGAAGGGCAGCCAAGGAATTAAGGTCTGTTTTCCCAAGACTGGATCCCTCTGCTCTAATCCCCTGCCCTGTGTCTGCAGAACAGGTGGGTACCACCTGGAGAAAGTCCTTGCCAGTGAGTGAGGCAAATGCTCTTCATCATTGGTCTGATGTATTTTCTAAGGAGGAAATGCTAGTCAGTAGAAAAAGCACTTTGGGACTGAAAGGATCGATGGGGAAATCTACTGAATGGGGGTTAGGGGGTTGGGCACGAGAACTGTAGAGGTAGGGCATAAGATTTGTTTTTTATCTGCCCTTTATCTTGGACAAAAATGTTCCTAGAGTAGTGCCAAGGCCAGGATGCTTCTTCCATTTAAAGGCCAGTGCTTCATAGTACACCCACGTTTGCTCAGGTTTCCAGCTATCCTTTTACAGTATGTAAGGAGGTAAAGTGAAATAGGGAACCCAGGTTAAGCTTCCAGTTACTCAGCAAGTAGTAACAGAGAGTGGAATTCAAAATTCCTCATGTTAATTTTTGGCATCGCTCTTGAGTGGCTGCCCAGATTTGTGCTGTGTCAATGGCGGGCTTGGTGCACATCGCAGGCCCTTGCTAAAAGAAAAGCCTCTCCTGAGCTTCTGTGTCTCCAAATGCATCATCCTTTTGCACTTACTGATTTATTTTGGGCACTATTTCATGCATGCGAATTAAAGTAAAAACATCTTAATTACCAGGAGGGGCTGAGCTGAGGGTAGAAGTGGGGGTAATAGGGATGGGGCAGGACTGAAGGCTCGTGCTATTTGACACGGGAATCTCTTCCTTCTCATTTATCCACAAGTGGAGCCAAGTGAATAATTGTTCTACAACATACTTCATGCCACTGTAAAGTAACCTGTTCTTTGAAGGGTTTAATGGATGATTATGGGGGAAGGGCAGCCAAGGAATTAAGGTCTGTTTTCCCAAGACTGGATCCCTCTGCTCTAATCCCCTGCCCTGTGTCTGCAGAACAGGTGGGTACCACCTGGAGAAAGTCCTTGCCAGTGAGTGAGGCAAATGCTCTTCATCATTGGTCTGATGTATTTTCTAAGGAGGAAATGCTAGTCAGTAGAAAAAGCACTTTGGGACTGAAAGGATCGATGGGGAAATCTACTGAATGGGGGTTAGGGGGTTGGGCACGAGAACTGTAGAGGTAGGGCATAAGATTTGTTTTTTATCTGCCCTTTATCTTGGACAAAAATGTTCCTAGAGTAGTGCCAAGGCCAGGATGCTTCTTCCATTTAAAGGCCAGTGCTTCATAGTACACCCACGTTTGCTCAGGTTTCCAGCTATCCTTTTACAGTATGTAAGGAGGTAAAGTGAAATAGGGAACCCAGGTTAAGCTTCCAGTTACTCAGCAAGTAGTAACAGAGAGTGGAATTCAAAATTCCTCATGTTAATTTTTGGCATCGCTCTTGAGTGGCTGCCCAGATTTGTGCTGTGTCAATGGCGGGCTTGGTGCACATCGCAGGCCCTTGCTAAAAGAAAAGCCTCTCCTGAGCTTCTGTGTCTCCAAATGCATCACCTGCCAGAGACACCAGGCCCCACAGCGAGAACGATACCCCTATAGCATGTGCTCTTAGCAAGGGCACGCACGTCTTTACCAACATCGTGTTTTTTAAACCCAGGTTTCGCAACCTCGTCATCATTGACATTTTGGGCTGGATAACTGCCTGTTAGGCGGCTTTTCTGTGCGCTATGTGGTATGTTCAGCAGCAATGTGGATCTTTACCCAGTGGATGCTGGTAGGAATTGCCCCCCCTTATACTCCCTTCCTGAAATGCTACCAGATCCTGCCAAACGTCCTCTGGGGGGCCAAAGAGCCTCTGCTTGGGCGCCTGTGGCTGAAACAAAGGAAGTCCTCTCACTTGGCTCTGTGCAGAGTGAGGTTCTAATGAGGGGTAGAAGGGAGAAAGACGAAGTCAATACACCGATTTCAGTATTTTCCTTTGATTAAAAATCATAACTATATTTCAGGGAAAAAAGCTATGCACTCTCATATGGGATATCTGCTGTCTGGCCTTAGCTTGCAATGTGTAGGTAAGATCTTGTGAGTGAATTCCAGCAACTCAGTCCTCCACTCAGGTTTGTCTGTATAGCTGAACTGATCAAATTCTCTACCTGGGCCTGAGGGTCTGGGTTAATTCACTGGTCTTGAAACAGAGGCTAGCCAAAAAGATGCCAGGTAAAGGTGGCTGGTGACACTACTGTCACCATGCTTTGGCTTCATTTATGTTACTCTGCATCTTTTACTTGGGACCTTGATCTTCTTTTTACTATTTAGAAGGAAAGAATGGGGACCTGAGGCAGATGCCAGGCCTTGGTGAGTGGTGCGGGATGAGGTTTGGAAGTGAGATTCAGTCTATATATAATGATCTAGTGCAGACATCTCAACTGACACAATAGATATCATTTGAAAAGCTGGACACAAACTGATGTTTTTGTAAACTGACTAATAATTTAGGTGACCCCAAGTGTGTTATACTGAGAGCAATTCAATGGCAAATCCTTTAGCAAAATTCAGTAGTCACTGTATAATTTATCTTTTTGATAAACATTTTTATAATGCAGTTTATCCTTCACTGAAGCAAATTATGTAGGCTATTGAAAATGACAATGGAATTCATTTTATAATCCAGGAAGTCCAGCTTTGTTTATTAAAAATGTATTCATTCCACTTAGAGAATAAAGTGGCTTTTATTTTCATGAGTATAGTATTGGAAGGTAATTAAATTTGTCATAAATTGCACCTTTCACATATGCTTCCAAGTCTATTAGTCTGTAATCTAAATGGTTACTGTATCAGTAGTGAATGTTAACAATTTTCTTAAGTCCAGAGCTCCAAATACTTATTTATTAATTCCCTAAGTGTGTGCTTTAAAATTTTTTTCAAGAGCATGCACCTCAAAATGTTAAGATGTTAGGTGAGCAACTAAAAATGAGCCTGAAAAGTCACCAAATTTGATTTCATATAGTAATGTATCAAAATGTAACATTTTGACTACCATTTGATGAATGTCTATAGACTATGGAAAAGTTTCCATTCTTATGATTAAAGCACTACCAGTTAGTTACATTATTATTTCATTAAGTAAGAATTCCTTTAAAAGATCTTTTCAGGGAACAACTAAAATTGAGACCCACAGTCTCACTGAAAGAAGCTTTTTCCTCCTGTTTCTATGGTAACCTGTGATCTGTATTCCAATCACACCTTCGAAAGGGCTTGTTTTCACCATCATGAAAATTTAGTTGGAAACACTGAAGGTACCAAATATAATTTTTATATTGTCTTTTTTTCTTTGAAAAATTGGAAAAAGAGAAATTACAAGACAACATCCAGGAGCTCATCATGCAAACACAATAGGAACATGTACTGATTAATTTTAAAATGACTTGCCAGCTTACAAGGTCACAGGGTTAAAGACTGAATGTTAAATGAAAGAACTTCTCAGATACCCTAACAAATACAGTCAGTAAATGTCCTGAGCATAAAATTGCAAATGCCCCTCTAATTTGATAGGGTGACACCTTAGAGATTTGCTCACAAGGATTTAAAATGTTACAGACCAAAATTTTCAACACAATTTTGAGCCGGGATTTTGCCTCGCAGAGGTATTTGGTGGTCTGGGAACGTTTTTGGTTGTCACAACTGGTGGTATGTGGTGGTGGTGGTGGTGTGTGTGCGTGTGTGTGTGTGTGTGTGTGTGTGTGTGTGTTCCTGCGTGTACTACTGGTAACCAGTGGGTACAGCCAACGATGACAGTAAACATACTACAGTACATGAGAGCCCCTGCCTCCCAACAGAAAAATACCCCAAAACAGGAGGTTGAGAACCTCTGCATTTAGCTTCATAAGTGCTGGGCTAGAATGAGGGACATATCAAGTATAATAAATTATTGAACATTTTATGTTCAAACAAATAAAGTGCTTTGGAGGCAACCCCTTATGGCCCTTTGGTTAAAATGTGAACATTTCCAGCCTGCATGTGTTTGTCTAATTTGATATCACCGCATAGAAGCCGTAAATACATGTTCAGGCGACTAGTCAAATGTTTCCACTGCAAAACTTCTAGCGTAGTATTGTGTTGACAATGCCGCCCCATTTAATTTAAATACAGTTAAGTTCCGATACCTTTATTTTTCTGTTAACCGAAAATGGACTTACCTTTCTTCAGTGGAATGCGGATGCACTTGCCTTTGACGTCTGGCCCCCTAATTTGGTTACATTTTGTCACCCCGACTTTGAAGGATAATCCTACCCCCGAATCCACGCCCAGGTCCTGAGGGCAAATCCATCCAGGAGGAAAACCTGCAGCTCGACCGTTTTCTTTGCTGGGTTGAAGGCGAGCACGAAAGCAATCCGAACAGGCAGAGGGCGCCAAAATGCCGCAAATAAAAGTTCCAAAGGTTCCGGCGGGTTTTGCGGGGAGATAAAATCGGCTTTTGTCTCAAGGAAAGAGCTACCGTTGGAAGCGGTGTCCTGTTATGTTACTTTCTCGGATTTGTTTCTTGCCCACAGATAAGCAAGGTGAGCACACCTCCTCACTCTGGTGATTATTTTGTGTCTCGGTGTTGAGGCGGCGGCCGCCCGGGCGCACCCACACGCCCCGATGGCAGCGGGTTTGACCGGTGCGCTCCGGAGCAGCACGTGCGGGTGCCTTGGCCAAGCGGCCTTCCGGACAACGGGCTGCCTCCATTAAGCACGACCTCGAAAACCCGACGGCTCCGTTTGTCGGTCTGGTGTCTTCCCTCCTTCCTCCCTCAAGTCCCGCATCCTCGCAGGGGCGACGCCGCGCGCTCGGCCGCAGCACCTGGGCCGTCGCCCTCGCCCAAAGCCGCAGCCTTAGCGGCCGGGGCGCCGCCCGCTGCGCGCCTCATCTGCTGGGGCGTCGGCCAGACGTGCCTGCCATCCGAGGCCACCCTCACTCCCGCGGACTCGGGTCCTGATGGGCGGAGGGGAGTCACCTGGTCACCCCCAGCCTCCCTGTCCGGGGATCGGAAGCTCAGCCGAACGTCGCTTAAAGGACGGGACTGGGTGCTGAGACGGTAGCAGGTGGCAGGGGGCGTCACTCATCACCTCGCAGGCAGCCCCGTAAGTCTGCGCGAGCGCCTGAGCACTTCTTAGGCAACCGTTCCAAATAAAAGAAGGGGCAGAGGGGGGGCAAAGGCACGGGGTCGGGGAGGAGATAGGAATGGGGAAGGAGTCGGGAAGCCGGCCTGGAGGGCCCGTGAAGAGACGCCGGAGGGGCCCAGGGTTGGAGGGCAGAGAGGGGAGGTGGGAAGGGGGACGGCCGGGAAGGAGGGGCAGGGCGGTGGGGGAGCCGGGAGGAGCCGGGCGGGGCGCCGGGGTGGGGGGAGGAGGCGGGCGGGAGGAGGCTGGGCGGGCGGACGCGCCGGGGGAGGGCGCTGGGCAGGAAGGGGAGGGGGAGCGCGAGCGCGAGAAATGCAGCGGCTGCAGCGGCGGCGGCAGTAGCGGCGGCGGCGACGGCGGCGGCGGCAGCGCTTCAGCTCGCTCCTCGCTCCGGGCTCCGCCGTCGAGCTGGGCAGAGAGCCTCCGCCAGCGGCCAGGCACCCGGCCGGACGACGCCAGCGACCCGGGCCCTCGGCGGCACCGTGCTCTCCAGGGGCGGCGCAGCACCCGGAGCCGGTAAGGAGGCGCGCCCGGTGGCCTCGCCGCCACCGCAGACCCGAGGCGCGCAGCTCGGGGACCTCCGTTCCCAAGTGCGCCCGCCCCACCCCGAGGCTCTTTGTTCTCGCGCCGCGCCGCATCCGGGGGCCGAGGGGCGGTGCGGGCCCCGTTGGACGGCGTGGGACTGGTGGTATCCCCATGCGGGCTTCGTTGCATTTAGGGTTCCTGGGCTGATGGGGAGCCCCGAGGCGGGTGGCTTCAGCTCACAGGGTGGGGAGGGTGGAGGGCGTTGATGAGTCCATCGGAGTTGAGGGGTACGTATGGGGGGACGCAGCTAGTTAAGGAGGAAATTGCCAAAGGCGACCCCCCTCCCCCCAGATGCTCGAGGAGAAGACGGTTTTGTGGGGTAGAAGGGAGTGTCTGTGTCACCGGGACCATTCACAGCTGGGAAGGAAGCGCCTGGTCTGAGGGGCGCAGCAGCAGAGATGCAGGGTGGGGGCGGGGTGGTGCGGGAGTAAGAGGAGAAGGAAGGGGAATCTGGTGCGGAAGGAGGTGGCTTTTCGGTTTAGCAAACGGGCTTTCCTTGACCCGTGGGACTCCTTATCTTGGCTCGGGGTGACCAAGGAAGACGAAGTTCACATAATGTTCCTCCAGAATCACATCTGAGCGGATCAAAATCCCAGCCTTGGACGTGGCTGAATTGCCTTCTAACCTGTGGGCTGCCTCTCAGCATTTCTATGATTTTTTTTAAGTCTTTTCTTCCGAGACCGCGGCCCCCGCGGGAGGGCGTGAGCTTGAACCTGACGGCGCGCGGCCCCTTACGGCCCAGCCCTGCCGTGAGCCAGGGTTGGGGTCAGCAGGTTTAGCCTGAAGCGTTCACGCTGAAACCCGACGCCGGGCTCCTGTCCCTGCTCCTCCCTCCCTCTCCCCCACGCCCCGTACCCCCGCTCCGAAAACTAAAAATCGCAGAATCCCTGCATCCGCTGGCACACAGCTTGGTTGCAAACCGCATTCTTTTCATGAATATTCATCGAACGCTTGGCTGGGCTCGCCCCTTATCTGTTTCCCCAGAGACATTTCCGCCTTAAAACGAACTCGGTGGACAGCCTTTGCCCGTGCGTTTCCATCCTGCTGAAATTGTGCCGCTCACACGGGTGCATTTTTAGTACCTTCAGCAGGGTGGACACACCTCGGTCTCCCGAGAGGCCTAGGCTAGCACGTGTGGGGGGGGTTAAAATCAAACACTAATATCGAGGCGGCCTTCCTGCTGTAGGGGTGGGATCAGCCTCTTCGGGATTACAGCCTGGCTAACAGATCCTAAACACTACTGGAGAAATGAATGAATCCGGTCTGTAATCACCTATTCCTTTGTCTCGGCCTCGCGCATGCGCCCCAGAGCAGGGTGTGGAGGGCCCCCGGCAGCCCCATCTGATCTCTCCATCACCCACCCACCCACTCCCTTCCGAACCCGAGGAACAAAGGCGTTTGCCCTAAATGTTGCGTGAAAGGCTGGGTTGCAAATGACAGTTTTTCCCCCTGTGTTTGCGCTTCTTTTTTAGGCGATCTCTCATCTTTTGCCTTCTTAAGTGACTTCAATTGATGAGAAATTAGATAATAACCTTGATAATGCGAGCAAGCTGTGGATGAAATATTTTTATAACCGAGCAGTTTTTCTTTCTACTACTGTCCATTGTTCTGTTTCCTGTGACATATTGCACTGCAGTAATGGTGGCTCTCTTAATTTGCATCAATTAACCGTTTGACAGGTTTTTGCTGCTGGTCATTTGATTAAGCCTTGGTCTCAAAACTGACCGTGGGTATTGCTCCTAGTGTCACTACTTGGAAAAAATTAAGACATTCTGGCATTTATAGGAACAAGATGGCCTACCAAACAGAGCTGAGAAAATGGTTACCTTGTCAGGATCCTAACCCTGTCTGTTTTGTCTTGATTCCTGACTGTTTCATTAGGAATCCCAAAAGGTCAACCCTGCGGAGATGGAAATTCACTGATAGGGGAGGAAGAAGGCAGCGGGGGCTGCTGCCGGGTGAAGATGGTGGATTAAGGTTACATTGTGTTTTCCGCCTCTGGTAATACTGTTGAAGCCATGGTACATAAACCTCTGATGGCTGATTTTCTTTCCAGTGATGTATTATCCAGGTTATGGTCCTTTAGATTTCTTTTTGGGCTACTTTGTTCCACCATCCAAAAGGAGACTTAACTGTGTGTGTGAAATAGGAGCTGAATACTATAGTTTTAATGGTACATTATGCTCAAACGAATTTTATGCTTAAGTATTCTTGGCACATTCTGGTAGGACACGTGGCAGGGAAATGGACATCATCTCTTTCATTTGTTTTAATAAAAACTTGATAATTGACCTAGTTGAGGATATTAGGACCTATACCTGGTAGGGTAGCCACCTGGTACCCTCACTATTCCTTAGTATTGAGTGTTTATTGTGGTTTAGAAGGCTGTACATATTTTTTCCCTTGTCTTCTAGGTTATGTTTTTGAGGCAGAGGGTAAGTTGGAATATAGGCCAAATTTAGTGGCATATATATATATATATATATACATATAGATATATGTACATACATATATCTATATGTATATTTATCTATACCCCAAGTTCAATGAGTCAGATTTTTGAGCAAGATAATTTTTTAATTGAATTTAAAAAAATGGCCTTAGTCTTTTCTCCAGCTAGCTTTTTTGGCAAGTCTTAGCAGGTGGAGAAAAGGAGCTAATTGGGCCTTTTGACAGAATGCGCCAACAGTGACTGTATCGACCAAGGCACGTCTGTTCTTAACTGCTGCTCATGTTTTTACTGTGGCATGCAGAAGAGAATCTTCTTTTCTGCCAGACCATCCTAATTTGAACATCCAGGATCTTTAAAGGCTTTGGCTCTTTATCCTTGGAGGCAGGCATCTTTATGATCTTCCCAGATTTATCAGAACAAACCATCTTATCATCTAAGATGAGTTGTGTTCTGTTTTAGTTTTTGTGTTTTTTTAAAAAACTTCACATTGAAAACAACTTAAAAGCCATTTTTATTTCATGATCAAGATAAGTGGAGTATGATGACTTGCATTTTGGGGGAGATTTGGTCATATATGCACATGGCATTAAATAAAATCTTATTAATGATATGAAACCAGTTGATAAATATTTTATAGTGCTTGACATTGGTCTTTGGAAAATCATCAATCTTCTGTCTAAATATGTTTGTAAAAGGGGGAACCTAGCTAGTGTACTAAGAAACTCTTTTCTAATTTCTCAGTGTACGCTTAAAACAAATGAGTGGCATGGAACATCTTAAATTAAGTTGTTCATTTATAAGCTTGAAAATTCACATGAAGCACCACCAAACTTTAAAATCTGTAATAAATAATGCTTACTAAATAAAAGATTTATAAAATTTTTCTGTCTGTGTGATCTTTTGTAAAATTTTCTTTTGAAAAGTAATTTAAAAAGGCCTGTCAACTATTGTTTATCAAAAGCAATTGTCTTCAGTGTCTGATTCTGTTCAAAGAAATGCTCTGATTTGTGTAGGCCTTTATCTTTCTTACATGTAATTTTTAACCTACTCATTTTATACCCTCTCTTTCAAAAGATTAACATCTTAATGACTGTTTTAGCTGGTAAACTGGTAACCAGGTAACTACTGAGGAAAAGCCAAATATATAGACAAGTTGAAGTTCTTGGGGAAAATGGTTGTAGAATTTGTCATCAAATTTTCTCAGCTCACCCGATCCTTTTCATTTATTCTGTCTCTTAAGACTTTGGATAACTCAAATGCATCATGAACTTTTATTCTTTGGCTTAATTATGGTGGATGGATATCAGGAAATAACTTTGAGGGTGGGGACAATCAGAATTTTATTTTTAAGGAGAAAATAACCTAGATGTGTTTTGGGGAGGTTTCCTAGGGCATAGTGGAAATAAACTGGGTTTGAAAAATCTCCAGGCGCTGAGTAGGCTACTTTGGGCAAATGACTTCAAACCTCTTTGAATCTCACTTTATTCAGCTGTAAAATTGGGAAAATGATTCCTTTTTTAGGCTATAATAAAGATCATATGTATGTCTAAAAAGTGCATATATACTGTGGCTGGCCCATAGGGGCTCCGTGACATCTGAGTCTGAATTTTCAACCCATTGTTATTGATGTCACTAATTAATTTCTGTATATTGAGCTGTATTTTTCTTCCATGCTGATTAATCAGGACCTGAGGGTTTTGGTGTGTTCAGTCAGAAATAGGATATTTCAATTCCAAAGAAGCTCAGATATAATTCCTAACTACTGTCCTCATGTATATATACCTATTTTAAATTCTGTGACACAATGTATCATTATATAAGAATTTGCCCAAAAGTGGATTGAATGAAGCCAGGATGGTCACCCTCACTGACTTTCCCATGGCTACTTTATGTGACTCAAGAGATGGCATTTAAGTTCTCTTGA